CAGCAGCAGCAAGTGCAGCAGCAGCAGCAAGTGCAGCAGCAGCAGCAAGTGCAGCAGCAGCAGCAAGGTAATGGTATATATGTATATAATGTATATATGTACATACATATATATTTTGAAAATTTTATTTTCAGTTCCTAATAGAAGGGGTAGCGGAGGACGCTCCAGATACCGCTGGTACCTCCAAACGAGCAGGCCTCGTGCAGCATAGGAGGTACCGGTCCCAAGGGTCTCACCGCGAGAGAGGGGTAGAGGAAGACCCGAGGATCCGGGGCCATGCTCGCCAAGAGAGAGGCCGCAGAGGAGCTCGCTTCCTTTCACGGTACGATAAATCTTTGATTGTTTAACATTATATTTGAAAGTAATGGAAAAATTTAGCGACGATTTTCTACGTGGATAAAAAATTAATCCAATAAGAAGGAGATATATGCTCTAACGAAAATACTAAGAATTAAAAAAAAATATGAATTTTTTTTGTTTCATTATTTTAAATATATATTGAAGATATGATTAATAATATAATATAAAGTTTCATTGCGATGCACAGATTAATTGCTCTTTAAATAAACAAAATTGCTTTCTTTATTTATTTTTTTATAGATCATCTAGAGAAAATCACAATGAAACTTTGTATAAATCATCTAAAACATTTACGTACTTATATTAAACATTTCACGTCAAACCGAGAAACTTTAAAATTTCGTCATTTTTAATTTTTTTTTTAATTTGCTAACGTATTCTACAGCTAAAAATATGAGACATGTGTTTCGCGAAAAAAATTGAGATTTTTTAATGAAGTTATTCACGCTTGTAAGTTGCAAAAATTCATGAAAAACTTTGCTCATGCGAACATTCAAATTATTATATCATCGAAACCAGTCGTAAATAAAAAAAATGCAAAAGATATCAATTTCTAAAAGATCTTAAATAGTTCTATGGATTTCTAAAGGATCTTAAATAGTTCTATGGATGGATTATTTTTAATTTATCATTTTTATATAAATAAATCATTTTCCATTTGTTAACAACTTTTATTAACATTTTTCATCATCAACTCATCAATTTAAAAAAATCTGTAAAAATATCATATTCAATTATGAAGTAATCCTGAAAATTACAAAATGGAACTGGAATGGAATGTATATAGTTAAAAAATTTGGTTGTGTGTGACCGCGCAGTTCTGTATACGTATACGGAACATAAATTAAAGAAATTATATTATGAGGTATTCCTGAAAATTACAAAATGTAATTCGAATGCCGTCATACAAACAAATTTTTTAACTAAACATTTAATTTGAGTTCCATTTTGTAATTTTCAGGATTATTTCATAATTGAAGTAGGAATATATTTTACAAAATTTTTTAATTGGTGAGTTGATGATGAAAAATCTTAATAAAAATTGTAAACAAATAAAAAATGATTTGGTTATATGAAAATGATAAATTAAAAATAATCCATCTACCCAGAACAAGTTCAAATCTTTAAAAATTGGTTTCTTGCATTTTTTTTATACGATTAATGGTTTTACATAATAATTTTACATAATAATTTGAATGTTTGTATGAGCGACGTTTTTCATGAATTTCTGCAACTTACAAATATGGATAATTTCACAAAAAAAATCTAAAATTTTTTTTCGAAACATGTCTCATATTTGTATCTGTAGAATGTCAACAAATTAAAAAAAAGAAATTAAAAATGATGAAATTTCAAAGGTGCTGAATTTGACGTGGAATGCCTCTTATACAAAAAAATTGAGATTTTTCATAATTTTATAAAAAACACTTTAATTTTTAATAACATTTTATAAACTATAAAAATATTTTATTAAATATAAATATAATTTTATTCACACAACATTCATATGTATATAGTTTATTTGAAGTGAAAATATTACACACATTTCCAAATCAAATTAATTGTACAGGAATACGACCGCCGTTGAGAGGAGAGAAGAGGAAACGGAGCGAGGAAGATACGTAATTAATAACAATTATAATAATTATTATTATTATGATTAATAAATAAATTTCTTAAAATATAATGCATATTAATTTCATTGTTCTGCTTTAAAACTACATGCTACAGATGTTAATGATATTATTGAATTCTCGTACGCAGATTGAAAAGATATTAGATTATTAAAATATTGTCCGTAATTCCTTAAATACAATCCGTATAGTAGGCCTTAAGCCCTAAGCTTTTAATAAGCCTTAATAAGAAATTGAAGAATTATAGATTGTTCTTCTTATATTTGTCCATAACTGATTTCTTAAAGCTTAAGACTTATTGCATCTATTGTAGCTTGGATTAAAACCCATTACGCTTAAAGGCGTGTAAAAAATATTGTCGGCGAAGACATCACGCTTAAATAGGAAAAGGATGAGTGCGTATAAAACATTGTCCATCGAGACATTACGCTTAAAAGCGTGTAAAAGTATTATAAATATGTATAATTACTTATTTAATTTATTTATATAATTTGTTTAATTTTTAGTTTAATTTGTGCGCTCGAGATATCCTTCCCATTTTCTCCTTTCCTTCATACATATATAAACATATATACAGGGAAATGTACAAAATTACATTGTTTAAAATGATTTTTAAACAATTATTTGTTAAATTACAATAATAAAAAGTCTTTGTGTTTGTCAATATTTGTATTAAAATTATATACTTCAATACAAATTGATATTTATCAATAGTAAATATTCAAATATCGTTTAAAGTGCCAAGGATAATTTTTCAATAATTTTTTTCTCAAATACTATCAACTTCACAGAAAAATTGCAAGAGACAAAAATTATTGATTTTCTTTTCATAAAGTTCTGAGAATTTTTTCAGAATTTTTTATCAACTTTTAAGTACTGCATTTTCTTAATTTTACCAACTTGAGAAAATACGGTATTAAAAAATTCTTGAAAAATTCTGAAAAAATTCTTAGTACTTTATGAGAAGAAAATAAAAAATTTTTATCTCTTGCAGTTTTTCTGTAAAGTTGATATTATTTGAGTAAAAAATTATTCAAGACCAATATTTTGCAATCTTTAGTAATTAATATCTTTTTAACTATTGCGAAAATTGCAAAATG